AAGGAGTTCGAAGTTTCCGGATTCTCGGATGCCCAGCTAAGAATAGGCCATGCCAGAAGCACCACCGTCTGACTGATTCAGTCGCTAGGTGGCACATTCTCCCTGATCCACATACGATCAGCGATTGCCTGTGGTGAAAGCTTGGCAGGGCCCTGGCAGGGCACTGCTAATGTTTGGGGAGATTCCTTTACTCATTGTCCTAACAGCATATAATAGGAAATGAGGCTCTACACATTGGATCACATCTACGGCGTCGGATGTCACAAGACCAGTGTCAAGTTGCACAGGACGCCATGGATTCTGGGCCAAAAGGACACGTCAATGACTCGCCATGGAGATTGTCTCATGCTCTGCACCTACAACGTCAGGACAGTCTCCAGCAACGCCGGTCTTCACGCGCTTCTCAAAGCTGCAAGGTGCATCAACTACCACGTAATCGCCTTGCAGGAAACAAGGTCAAGGAAGACGGAGCAGCTGAGTGATGGCACACTACCACGTAATCGCCCTGCAGGAAACAAAGTCCAGGAAGACGGACGTGAGGCAGCTGAGTGATGGCACCATCATTCGTGGTGAGAAAGTTCCATAACGGAACGTTGGAGGCGTTGGATTTGTCGTACACCCATCTGTTCGAGAAAGTTCCATCACGGAACGTTGGAGGCGTTGGATTTGTCGTACACCCATCTGTTGTCCATCTTGTCGTTGCATGGCATCCTATCACCTCGCCACTATCCTTCGAACTATCACCAACTGCTCTTCCCCAAAATCAGCAGCTGATGATTCGGAACTTGATGTTTTGATTTGGAGGGAAGTCATTCGCAAACAAAACTCTTTCTAGAAGAAAGAACATCGGCGATGGATAGGGAGTCACCCGACGGTGCGGAGATCGGTCACATTCTCACCAACCGAAGGTGGTGCTTACAGTCTCAGCGGTACCATCCTTTAGTAGTGAACCAAATCAACGCCTCCTTCGTGCAAAAGTGCGACTCGGTCGGAAGCTGGAAAAAAAGATCTGCCACCGTGTTGGAGGAAGGAGAGAGGTCGTATAGGAAGGCGTCAGATTGGAGGAGCTCCTGACTACTTGTGACTGACCCATCGAGGAGGACCCAAAGAAAGACTACGATCTGCTTCTCAGAGGACTGAAAGCCTGCGGTAAGTGCCTCAAGGCCTCGCACAAGGCACTTGAAACGAATTTCGTAAGCCATCAAGGATCTGCGAAAGAGGAGAAGAGCACTGAGGCGATGCGACTGCATCAAATTTCGAGCGACTGGTAGCCAAAACCAGTTGTAGAACAGCTTTGCAAGAAGATCTTCGAAAGTACAGGCGATCGAGACTTGTGGAAGGAGCACAAGGAAGGAGGAGTCTAAAGAAGTGCCGCAGAGACCTTCTTCACTACCGTGTTTCGCTGACAGCATTACTAAACGAAGACGGGACTCGCACATCTTCGCGGCAGAAGATGGAATCGACTACGAAGAGCTACACCAATTTCTTTCGCTTATCAACACCCGTGCCAAACCCCATTATTTCCACTGGAGAAATACCACCACCATGGATTCTACCTGCTGAAATACCCGCCGCAATCCAGACCATGAAGGCAGCCACGGCTTCAGGAGGATCATGCTTCGGCCGACCTCTTACGAGGTGGAGGATATCGCCTATACGAGATACCTGTGGCACTCCTAACGTCCTACCTTCAAAAGGAAAGGATCCCCGACCAATGGAGAACTTCCCAAACAATCCTGCTTCATAAG